CAACCGGCTCCCATTAACACCTCACCTGATTACTGAGGAGCTGAGACAGCTAAGCAGGAAAACCCAGCAAAGCGGCCAAAGCTGGGAGGGAGCCGGTTTGGTTTTTATTCGTTCTTTTTATTAATATTTGTTTGTTTTGTTTCGAAGTAAATATTTTGAAGCGGGCAGCAAAGAAAAGGCAGGTAAACGCGTGTGCTGCGGGGGTCAGAGGTGGGAAATTCGCGTCAATTCCGAATCAGAAGCGATGTAGCGAGGGGGAGAGAGGCGAGAGGGGGAGAGGGAAACAATCCTTCCACGCAGCAGCTTGTTTATTTTAATTAACGTAGGGATCCTCCGCCAGGGAGAAGGACCCACCTCCATCTCGCGGCTGAGCACCGAGCCTCTCCCCACCCAGACCCCAGCCCTCGCCGCTCATAAAGGAGGGCACAGTTTGGGCAGAAGCTCCTAAGGTCGCAAGGTAAGGTCCTGCATGAACTCCTGTAAGCGGTGCGGCGATTCAGACCTCACGATGCCATTTGCGGGTGTTCCTTTGCCGTCGTGTTGTGTTTTTTTTTTTTTTTAAACCAACAGCCCAGAATGGTGGCTCCCCCAGGTGCTTTCGCAGTCAGCGTTCGGTGCGGGTGTTTTAATCCGGACAAACAGTAGTCTGGGAAGCCCGAGCCGTTCTTTTTAATAAATACGGAGCTGTGTTCTGTATTCCTTTTTCTTTCTCATCTTTTTTTTTTCCTTCCTACGAAAGGCTCCCCTTACCTGTCCGTGAACGTAGCCTTTAGGAGCATCCTTCCCAAAAGCAGCTAAACACGGTACTTTCCGACGGCTAAATGACACCCGGAGTGCGCGTTCGATGGGGGTTACCGTCAAACCGCCGAGGAGCTGCCGGCTGCGCTCCGCCGCGGTGAGCAGAGCTGCTGGGCGCACATCGCGATCCGCAGCCCTGCTCGCTGCTGCCTGGCCGCGGGGATGCATCCCTGGCAGTGCCACGCTAAGCTCATCGCGGTCGGTTATCTCAGTATCACCTCCTTCGGCAAACGAATACGCGGCTCAGTGCGCGTTTTCGGATTACCGGGCGCTCTGAGTTTTGCTTTTTTCGGCCCGATGCTCTGTGCTGGTAGCGCAGCCCCACACGTGCCCGAGCAGCGCCGGCCCGGCCAGGAGCAGCAGTGCGGGGTGTCGCGGCGCTGACCCCGAGCGGCTCTGCTCCGGGGGTGCGGGGCTGGAGAGAGGCGGTGACGGTAAAAGTTATTACGGGCGCCAGAGGGGAATTTGAAACAGTACCAAGATATTATATATATATAAAAATATAATGCAATCAATTTAAATGCAGAAAGCAACCTTGGCTACATTTGGTATCACCTACGAGAGAGTCGACTTTACTCCAATTCTCTGTTTGTGTGCCCGATTCCACGGGGCGACGAGGCGGAGCGGCAGTAGCCCCGTGCCCCGCAACGAGCTGGCAGAGCAGAAAATAGCGATAGGTTGTGAACCTAGACCCGGCTCCCAGCGCCCGGCGCGGGCAGCAGCACTGCCATTCGCTGTCGCCGTTTCTGCGTTCGGATCCTCCGGACGCGATGTGCCGGGCAGCACCAGCGGGGCTCAGGTGCCCGAGCGGGACCGAGCCCTGTGCCCTCCCGCGGCCGTGCTCCTGGCGCTGGCTCGCAACGGGGGGGGGGCTGAATCAAACTCCTTCTGTCCCCTGCTCCCTCCCCGCCGCAGTGCCCTCCCCTCTCTTCTAATTATTGCTGGTTAATTATTAATTCGCATGTAGATGTTGTCCTAAATTCCCCGAACTGAGCGCAGGATCGTTCACGCTGTAATAGGCTTTAGCTTGGAGCCTGTGGCCGAGGAGAACGAGAGCTCTATAGCGGAGCGGTGCCGGCATCGCGTGCCGCAGCCCGCCCGGAGCGCAGGGGGACAGCGGGGGGGGAGGGGAGTCGGGGGAGGGGGGAGCTGATGGCAAAGCCAGGCCGGGGAGGGCGGGCCGAGCGGCTGCGGGCTGTCCCGGGCTGCAAAGTCCCACGACCGAACCCCCCCCCTCCATCTCGCTGTTCGGGACTTTTGCAAAGGCCGAGCACGTACTTAAGGGAAGGAAAAATCCTACACTGGCTGAAACGCCTCGAACGTTGCCCATCTGATGTCTTCCCAAAGCGCTGCTGCACCCCGCAACGAGGAACTGCGTTCGGAGGCCAAGTGCTAATGCGAATGGCTTCATAGGGGATGAAGACCTCGATTTGGGCTTTAGATGCTCCGTTGCGGGCTATCCTACCCAGCTCGAAGGGCAGCGGCTCCCACAGAGCCCGGCTCGGGGCGCCCTCACCACCCGCCCACAGCGGAGCAGTGCCAGGACAGCGAGCCCGGTGTACCGGGAGCTACCGCGGGCCTTTGGAAACGGAGAGCTCACGTCTGATGCTAGCAACAAACTTTTGATGTCCCCTTAAGTAAGCAACACATTCATCAGTAAGCGCTTTAGAAACCTCCGGCCTCCGTTAGCGGAGCGGCGGATCCGTAACGCTACCTGATGGAGCAGAAGGGAAGGGCCCTCTCATTAATTAAGCGCGCCCGCCTGGAGGAGGTTCCGTCGTTCCTGACATTGCTTATGAGCCTGCCCAATTATTCCTGACGGAGCCGCCGAGCCCGGGCGGAGGTGGCAATGCGGTACCGACGGGCTCGGCGCTGTCAAGGAGCGGCTCTCGGCCCCGCACCTGCGGCGCGTCGCTGCCCGGAGCGCCCGGACCGGCAGGGACACGCAGGAACCGCGCAGGGAGGACGTGGTTCGGGGATGCCCGAGCATCGCCTGTGCTGCACGGCGCGGGGGGAAGCGCGGAGCCAACGCAAAACTGTTCTCTGCTCTGGGGCAGGCACAAAATAGCTGGACGGGAATAAAGGAACATTTCGTTGGGAGAAAAAAATAACAAACAAACAAAAAAACAAACGAAAAAAAAAACGCTAGCAGCAAATCAACCCAAACCCTGAACGTGCCACCACAGTGGAAATATTTCACGCAATGACTAAACTCGTCTCTAGAAGAGATGTTGCCCTCACCGCAGGCGCCCGCCGGGCAGGCGCAGGGCTGCGCGCAGCAGGACGGCCGTGCGCCGGCCGAGAGCTCCTACCGAGGGCTCCCAGCCCTCTCCCCGGCGCCGGCCGCCCGCGCTCCCCGCTCCCTCCTTCCTCCCGGGCCGCTCCGCTCCACGAAGTGGCTGCGCGGCCCGGCCCGGCCCGGCCCGGCTGGGCTCGGCCGCAGGGCAGAGGGGCACTGCGAGGGAGGGGGCCCGGAACGGCTCCTGGCCCCCGGATCGAATCACCTCCTTTATTTTTTCCTGATGGCTCATTGTGCTAATTGACTTGTTTTCTCCAAGGAAAGCCCATTTCTCCCTCCTCCTTCCCCCTCTACAGTTTTGTTTTTTTTTTTCTCCCTTTCTTTTCTTTCTTTTTCTTCTTCTTTTTTTTTTTTTCCCCTTTTTCATCTTTAACCGGGACTGCTCTGCAGGACTCCACGGCTGGTGGGGGGTTTCTGCCCGTTTTAAGGGAGATTCCCTCACCCCTTTGAGCTTCGTCGATTTTATAGCTATTACTCTTATTAAAACACACACGCACATACAACGCATTGATTTCCATCCAAAAGGGCTAATTACATTACTTACAGTAAATAGCAGCCCTGCTGTCCGGGGTCTAGTGTGCCAACAGAGAAAAAAAATCCCGGCTTATTTCACTTGATTGACTTCATCTTTGTGTGAAATTGTGTTTTATGAGCTGTATTCTGGCACTCGGACGAATGTAGCAACATTCAATCTGCAAATAACATTAATTTTAGCTACTTAGGGAGAAAGAGAAGGGAGGAAACCGGCCTCCTGGATCTTGGGTTACAGGGAAGAGGTGACTCGAGGAGCCCCCGAGGATGGCTCTGGGATGCTTTGCAGAGGAAGTGGGGGTTGGGGCACTCCTTGCAGCGGCCGCGCTGGGGCTCGGTTGTAGAGCGTCCCCCAGGGAGCGCGGAGCGCGGAGCTGCCGCCAGGAAGATCCTTCGGTAGGGATCGAGGTGTCAGGAAACAGCCGGCAGCTGTTCCAGGGAAAGGCGAGGAAGAGCAGTGTGAAAAGTAAGTAGGAAAAGGGGAGTGGAGGGGAGGGAGAGCAGGAGAGAGATTAGCCAGGAAGGAATGCGCCGCCCGGACCCCTGCGCGCGATGACCGCTGGCAGCCGGAGTGGCGAGGGACGGGGGGAGGCGAGGTCCCGTTTCGGCTGAGGGCGGGGGGCCTCCCGGAGGCGGCGGGGCGGGCTGTGCCCGAGGACCGTGCGGGACCCGAGCGGAGCCGCCGGCTTCCGCCGCTCTCGGAGCCCCGATCCCGGGCGCGGAGTCCCCGCTGTACGGAGTGGCCCCGGGGAGCCCGGCCCCGCCGCCGCCTCGCGGGACTCGACGTTTGGGGGAGGTAATAAAGCCCACCCCACCCACAGGCCCGGCTGCGATGTTTGTCGCTGCTTGCCCATCACTAGGGGTTGAGAGGAGTATGACAGGTCTTTGTTGTCTGAATAAAAATCAGTGGCGGCTCAAGGGAGAGAACTCCTCCTACTAAATTATCAAAAATGGGCTGGCTTTAGTCTCTTAACAAATTGGACAGAGCTCCGGAAGGCAGCAGTCCCAAATCCAACCTACAGGCACTGGGAACTTTAAAGCAACCAGGGACTGCTTGAAAATAGCACTTCTTTTTGCTTTCTTTGTATTCAAAACTATATCCTCTCCCGACCGGTTCTGCCGCCCCAGGTCCGAGTCTCTCCGGTCAGGAGCCCCGGCTCTCCAGAACAGTAACAGATCCTTTAGCTCGTTTTTCTTCTTTGATTTTTCAAACTAATTATTATTACGTTTTCTTCCCCTTGTTTGTTTTCCGCACACCTTCAGGAAGCCCTCGGTGCTTGAGCAAAGAGAAGCTCCTATTGCAACCTCCTTCCCTGTGCCGTGCGCCTCGGTGTAAACATTTTGGATGATCTAAAGACTCTGGGGTCTGTATATGGAAATAGTGGGGTGCAGAGCAGAAGAAAATACTTGTCCTTTCCGTCCCCCAGCCATGCTTTTCCACGGGATCTCCGGAGGCCACATCCAAGGAATCATGGAGGAGATGGAGAGGCGATCCAAGACCGAGTCCCGCCTGGCTAAAGGGGGACAGATGAACGGCCGAGAAACGGTAAGAAAGCAGCCGGCCCTCCCGGAGGGGGGATCCCTGCGAGCGTGGGCCCGCACGGGGCAGTTCGGCCTCGGGGAAGGGAGCTTGCCTGCCCCCGTCCTGCCCTGCCCCTGTCCCGCTTGTGCAGCCCCGACACTGTTGCTGCAGCGCAGGGCGCTGCGTGTGCCGGGCTCCGTTAGTCGTTTGTTTCACAACTGCTGCCGCGTGTGCTTTCTGGAGTAAGGGGCAATGCGTGAAATCGCAGCAGGGACGTTTGTAAAGCCGCTGCAGCAGCAGCCCTGTCCGGCCGCCGTGCCCGTGGGAGAGGGGCTTGCAGGCGGGCTGCGAGGCTGCTCGCACTCCGTGCCCCCCGGCACCTTCGGACGGACCCGCAACCCGCGGCCGCTCGTTGCTCGTAACCATTTTTGGTCTCGAGTGCGGGACCGGTACGGAGGTGCTGCTCTTTCCGAACGCAGCGCCGGCCGGTTATTCCGTTTAGTAGCATCTCCCCTTTCTAGTGCCGGGTCCGAGGTTTTCATTAATGTCACGGCAGATGGAGAACGGGATCCCTTTCTTCCCAACTTTGTGGGGCTTCCGCCCTCCGCGCACGAGGAACAGCGCACAGAGTAGCGGCCTGCAGCCCGCCTTGCCGCTTCAGCCGCGGGGTCTTCTCTCTCTTAAATAGCTCCCGCTTTGTTCAGCGAGAATTTGCAATGTAAATTCCACTCACTTTTTCAATTGCTGTAAAAGGGGGCGAGGAAAACGACTTCAGATTTTAAAAATGAACGCGGAGCCGCAACTTTAAAACGGTTGCGACTTTCGAACAAGAAGTTCGGGGCGTTTTTTTCCCGTCCGTTTCTCAGCAGGCGCCTCTCGGAGCCTCCCGGCCGAGCTTTTGTTGCCGCGGTTCCTCTACCCGCCTTTGTCCCGAGCGGCGCTCCCGGAGCTGCCCGGGAACCCGCACCGCTTCGGGCCGAGAGACGCGCGGTGGGGCTGAGCCCGGGCCGCGTCCCTGCCCGGCGGGGCGCTGAGCGTCCTCCACCACTGCCCCTCGCATCGCCACCTGTCACCTTTCTTTGATTTCTGCTTTAAAGTGTTTGGTTTTGCCTAGCACGGGGTTAGGCTGTTCTAAGCATGGAGAAAATTTACCAGAAAATTGATTCAAGCATGCACCCTCTGCCATAAACTTCTAGTGTGGCAAAACGGTGTTTCTCTACTTGAAAACGCCATTCTTCGGGAGCATTCTAATATCAGAATGTGAAAGCGATGGGGAAACTACTGACTTAAACTTCAGAAACCCTAAGAATCTGCTTTTCTCCCCTCGCTGCGGCCTAATCAGCAGCTTTCACATACTGCAAAGACACGAGCTGGTTAGGAGCGGTGTGACGAGACAAACGCGAAAGCTGAACCCTGATGAGCTGAACTTGGTGGCCCGGGCCCGAGAGGGTCCCTTTGTGCAGCCCCAAGGCCGCCCCGCTCCGTGTCTGATCCCCGCGCTGTTGTTTTGCAGAACATGCCCCCCATGAGCCCCGAGAAGCCTGCTTTGTGCGCCGGGTGTGGAGGGAAGATCTCAGACAGATATTACCTGCTGGCTGTTGACAAACAATGGCACCTCAGGTGTCTTAAGTGCTGTGAATGTAAACTGGCTTTGGAGTCAGAACTCACCTGCTTTGCCAAGGACGGCAGTATTTACTGCAAGGAGGATTACTACAGGTACAGCAATCAGTTCTCACGGGTTCAAAATCACGTCCCCTCCCCAGGCATTACGAACCGAACCGCTCTTTTCTTCCCCACGGGAAGCTCGCGAAGTAGCTTTTTTGCGGCCAGCTACCCCCCCACGCGTCCCCTCACAAAAGTCTCGCACGTTTACCCACCGGGCGGGCGGCCGGGGGAGCCGAGCACGTGGCGGCACGGGAAGGGACTAAAGAGCCGAGCCTCGGGCTCCCGCCGCTCCGGGTAAGCGCAGGAACGCAGCCTGCGGCCCAGCGGAAACTTTCCCTCCGACCGCCGCGCTCCGCATCCCCGGCGCGGAGCGGCCGAAGGGCGGCGGACAGCGGCGAGGCCCGCACCGTGCGGAGCCGTGCCCCTCGCCCAACCCCGAGGAGACGGCGGCTGGGGCTGAGCGGGGGCCGTTCGCTCGAACGTTTGGGCTCCCCCAGGGAGCCTCCACTCCTCCGCGGCCTTTCTGGTCTCTAAACGACCGAAAGGATGGGGCCGCTTCGTTTTCTCCCCTCCCGCGTTTCTCTCCGCGCTCTGGCGGCGGGGAGCTTTTGCTCGCCGCAAGATCTAAGCGAACAGGTCATCCGGGCGGAAAACTCGAGGCGTTTGCCCGACGGCAGCGGTGCCGGGTGTCTGCGGGGACTGCGGGAGCCGTCCCGGGGCGGGGAGGGACGTGCGCGGCCCCGGGCTCCTTGCCGACCTCCCGCGGCAGGAGCGAGGCGGACAGCGCCGTGGCGAGGTCTTCCTTGACCTTTCTAGTTGATGCCCACCGTTCGTTTCCCTCAGAAGGTTCTCCGTGCAGAGATGTGCCCGCTGCCACCTTGGGATCTCAGCCTCTGAAATGGTCATGAGAGCCAGGGAGTCGGTTTATCACTTGAGCTGCTTCACCTGCACCACCTGTAACAAGACTCTGACCACGGGCGATCACTTTGGCATGAAGGACAACCTGGTTTACTGCAGGGCCCACTTCGAGTCCCTTTTGCAAGGAGAATACCCCCCTCAGCTGAGCTACACCGAGTTGGCAGCCAAGAGTGGAGGGCTGGCCCTGCCCTACTTCAACGGCACGGGCACCGTGCAGAAGGGGAGGCCCAGGAAACGAAAGAGCCCTGCCCTGGGAGTGGACATCGTCAACTACAACTCAGGTGGGCAGCTCACCCGGCTTCCCCACCCTACCCCCCAACCCGTCCTCGGCTCGGAACGCTCTCGGGCTTCCCCTGTGCCGGGTGGTGTGTGGGGAGCTCAGCCGGGCCCCGGCTCGCGTAACTATTAGCAAATCAAACCAACGGCTCTCTGAGGGTTGGAGTTTTGTAGGAAAGCTAACAGCAGCCCTCCTCAAAGGCTGTCTGTGCCCATTAATGTCAAACACTCAAACTTAGCCGCTTACCAGGGTAAAGACAAAAACAGCAGAAAAAGCAGAGAAACACCACACCTTTCTCTATAGAAACCTGGGAGATACCGTTGCCATTATTTGTGTTTCATTAACGAAAACACTTCATCATTTAGATTTCAAAGTATAAGAGTCCAAAAGGATCAGAGAAAAAAAAAAAAAAAAAATGTAGAGCAAAAGAAGGCTAGAACGTGGCCAGCACGATGTGCAGGCAGTCAGAGCAGGTCTCCGATTCATAGCACTGAACTCTCCAGGCGAAACAATCCCGGTTTACTGGCACATAAACAATCAAACTGCACAAGAGGCCAACGAATAAATGTTGTTCCCCATAACGAAGCCTTAACAAATGTAATTAACAGGAACGGTTTCTGCTCTCTTAACGGTAGAAAAGAAACGAGTGTTGGACTCCATTAAATTTCCTCTCTTTCCGCCACTTCAGTACCCACGCCGTGCCCGAGCACCCCGTGCTAGGGGCTGGAGGGAAGGGAGATTTACGCGCTATCAGGCGCTTTAAGAGGAGTTTCGTTAGACGGAAGCCGAAAGTAGAGAGGACAAACCCGAACAGAAAGCCCCCGCCTCCCCAAAATCTTGGGGAGGAAGAGCAGCCTCCGGAAGGGACAGCGGGCAGGGAGCAGGCAGCGGCTGCCCCAGGCGATGCGGCCAGGGAAGCTCCGCGCCGGTTTCAGCCCCCTCCCTCCGCCCCAGTTCGGGCCGCTGCTCGGAGATCCGTGAGCAGCCCACGGCTCCCCCCGCACAGACTGCAGCCCTCCCCGGCACGTCCTCTGGGGCTGCTGTGAGACGGGCCGCGGCTGGGAACGGGGTGGCTGTGCGAGGCTATTTCATCTCCTCTGATGCGTAGACCTTGGAGCTGGGGTAATCACTGCGCTAATTGTTCCTTGTTAATTGAAGATGACATTGGAATCCCTGGCTGCGGAGCGGTTTCCAATCAGTCCTGAAAGCTGCTAAAGAAAAGCGAACCTGTGGCACAGCCCCGGTTCATTCAGTGCCGGCCCCTGGTGTGGGGGGGGGGTGAGTCCCCATCTGCCCGCTCTCTCGAATTCTCACTTGGCCACCCGAATTCCCCAGGTCCCCAAACAGAATTATTTCTACGGATAAGTTATCATTAGAATTAGGATCAGAAATGTTGTGGGTATGATAAGACACCCCTGACGTACTCAACAGAGACGTTACTTGTGAACGCGGTCACAGTTTTTGGGTGCGAGTCCTGAAAGTCTCCTTCGTTACAACCACAAGGGTTGGAAGATTCACTGACTGCAAAATGAGATTAAAACCCACTGCCCACTATAAAAATATAGCCCATTTCATTGAGGTCTCACCTAATTTTGAACAAACAAACAAAGAAGACCGCTCTAATTTGATGTCTTACGGTTCATGTAGATGGCTGAGGAATTTGATCTGGTTGGGCTGTATTTTTTGCTTTAAGCATTATCTAGCAGTGTCCAGTGCTTACACATGGTCATCAGAAAATACAGCCTGCAGCCAAAGCATGCATCTGGTGCAAACGAGTCCAGCCCATTGACCTGCCGTGCTGCAGATCCAAGGGGAGGAAAACAAGCCTCTGACAGTTATGAAATGAGTTGCAGTGGATGGAACTATTTCTTGAAAGAGAAGATAAAGTTTCTCAATAATTGGCAGCCACTTCCTACACGCGTTTCCCATCCTTTGCCCTGCACTCTGGCATCCTCCCTTCCACATCCCATCTCCCAGGGATAGCAGCCTGCTGCATGCCCGCACAGCCCCCAGCACATGTCTGTCCTGGACCGTGTGCTCCACGCCAGCAGACTCTGCTCATGCCGAGTGTGCTCCTACAGCTCCCTGCTTCTTGGGAACAGGGCACTTCCCTCCCCAGGTAAAGCGAGGCCTGACGAAGCTGGCTGCATTGGGATGGCAGGCCGTTACAGAAACAAATCAGACTTCTAAAGCCAACCGGTGCAGCTGACCCTGATTAGGCCAACAGCCCCACAGAGCTGTGCGCAAAAATCCGCATAGTCAAAAACAGCCCCCATGATCAGGCTCAGATCTGCGCATGAGTTTTGTTGTGGAGGAGCCAAGCATGGGGCCAGGGTGGGAAATGGGCTTCTGCTGCCGCACCTATAACAGCTTTTCTATTTTGCATGTTGTTTAGCAGTTTGATTTCTGCTTCTCAGCTGTAAAGTGGAAACAACAATAAATAACTCAAAATGTTGTGAGCTAAAGCCATTCGCGCTTGTGAACTGTCTGCAATTAATGTGAAAAAATGGAAGAAACTATTCAAAACTACTTAAAACATTCAAAGCTTTCTCTATATTACCTCTTATATCATAGAATTGATATATATTTTGAGGCAACTGTGTTGACTTACAGCTCACAGGATATAGAAATGAGAGGGTGAAGAAGATTTACCTAGGAAAATATTTTACACAGCTGTTGCTCCAAGAGCTGCTTACTTTACTTCATAATAAATACGTGTGTGTGAAAAACTAAGAAGAGTTCACTTGAAAAATTCTTGGCAGTAGAAAGCAAAGAGTTCTAGCTCTTTCCAAAGCAAAATTAAATTAGCAACTCCCTGATCCCATTGCAATGAAATAAGCAACAATATCTTGCCCAATTTTCTGCTTTCTCCTGGTTCTCCAGGCAACGGTATGAAGTTCTGCAGGATGATGTGGCAAAGCCACACAGTGCTGTTTCACCTGTGTAAAAGGGAGATGGATCTGATCACTGCATGAACAGGGGTTGTCTGAGAATGCTCCCAGCTCCGTTCTTACTTTCTCTTGAAAATGAAAGTCCAAACAAAGTAGATCACAGATGAAAAGAGAAAAAAAAAAAAAAAAAAAAAAAAAGCAGCAAGCAGGACAGAGGAGTGTGAGGAAGTTTGCTTTGCTGCCATACCCCTGAATGATCCAGGAAAAGGAAACACACAAACAGCTTACAAATTTCGGATGGAAAACCTGAGGTCTGAATCTGGTGATCTGCTTTATGGCAGCTGATGAGTTACTGCCCACACAATTTGACTGAAGGCAGTGTGACTACATGTGAAAACAAGGAGTAAATGTAAATCCCAATCTATCCTGAAATTGTTTTTAAGGTAAATTTCGACTCCTGGTGCTTTCTGAATTGTCAGTTTGCTTTGTTTGAAAGTGCAGATAGACTTCTCACGAAGACTAGAAGCAAATCTAACTATAATTAAATATTCACCTGATTTTCTGTCAAAGCGTTGTCTTAACAGTGTCTGTTCATGTTGATTTGTCATATAATTCAAAAGAGAAAACACCTTCAAGAAGCTTTCTATTTTCTCTTGGTTTCAAGTTGTTTTGCCTGTTTTTAGCTCTGTCAACATCAGCCTCTCTCTATTGTCTTCTCCGTCTTTCTCTCCTCTCTTTTTTGAGAAATTGGGATCAGCTTGCCCTAGTAAATAATCCACTATCTGAGAGCCAAGAGCTGTTCAAAAATTCAAATGATCAAGTAATGAATCTTGGTCTAGTTTACACACATTCTAACTTCTTTTCAATTCAGTTCAGTCATTAGTACTCCTTGCTATGATTATGTGTTCAATCTTCTCCTGTTTAAGTGAGCTATCATTACAAAGTGCTATCCTGAAAGTAATCCAATTGTTTTTAAGCCAAAGAGAAAAAAAACAGGTGTTTTTTTTTTTCTTCTTCTTCTTCTTCTTCTTCTGTTTTTTTTCCAGTATTGTCGTGTCTTTCCCCAGTGCTAAGTGGTGATGCTACAAGTCCATGAACAGCTGCCACTCTAGGGTACAAAATCACATCCAGAGAAGTGTAATCTGGAACAAAATAATCTTTCACAGATGCTTTAGAAATCTGGAATCAGAGAAATTGGGGAAAGTCTTTTAAATTTTGGAGCCACTATTTACTTGGTTGCTTGGAGGAATCTCGTTAATCAGTACCAGCTAAGAGCTGCTGCTGGGTGGGACTGAGATGGAGGGCCTGAATCAAGCCTTGACCAACTACCTTCTAGAGATGCTTTACAGAGGAAAAGTTTCCAAGAAGTTCACTTAAAATCTCAGGCAGAGTCCAAAACCATTTATTTTATCAGCAAAGAAGTCCAGATTTTCTGCTTTCCTGATCAACTGTCATAACAAACTTTCCTGCTGTACATCTTTTTTAAAGGTACTTGTGATTCGGAGGAAGGCTTAGGAACATTCAGAATGCTGGCTTGACCTTTATTCTTCTCTCAAGCTAAGAGTGTTTCAATGAGTGAGATTTCAAAATCTGAATGAGATTTCAAATGACTCTTTGGATGCCCAAAGCAAAACCATCACCACAGGGAAAAGACTTGTTTGAAAATAAATGCCAAAGAAGAGATAACTTTCCATGCCTGCCCTTAGTAGGTAAAGGCCTAGGGGACATAGCATGTTTTAAGTATAAGAAAAGGTCATCTTCTAGTTCTTTTTTGTCTCATCTAATTATCACATCTATACTTAGTCTTGCACCATGTTAGCACTTCTTTTCTTTCTTGCTCTCTAGCTTGCTTCCTAACCTCCAAATAGTACCTTAGCCATGATTGTTGCCTCGATTCCTTTATCATCCACGCGGCACAGCCACTAACTCGCTGCTTGATTTATCGAACAGGTTGTAATGAGAACGAGGCAGATCACATGGACAGAGACCAGCAGCCTTATCCCCCATCCCAGAAGACAAAGCGCATGCGCACCTCCTTCAAACACCACCAGCTTCGTACCATGAAGTCCTATTTTGCTATCAACCACAACCCAGATGCCAAGGACCTCAAGCAGCTTGCCCAGAAAACAGGCCTGACCAAGAGAGTTTTGCAGGTAAGAAGCCACCATCGCAGGCTTGACAGAATTTTCCCCTACTGCTGCCAGTCGATAGCATTTCCCATATGTGTAACAAGAGCAATATATAAATACTTTTGCTAGTGTGTCCCTAGTGGGTGTGCAGAGGGGTGTGGTATTACATGACGGGAGTGCCAAATGTATACCTGAAGGCAGCCAAATACTGAAATGTGATTTATAAGTAGTTGCATCCTCAAGATGAGGAAATTGTCTCCAGAGTCTATGACCTGGGGGACATCCTGGGATCTGTAGTCTCTATGTGCTGACCTTATTAAGGACAGAGGTAGCAAATCTACTCATTTTACACATACTGGGTGAAGCCCTTGGGCTCTTGAGAGGCAGTTAACGTGGCCCCTCAGTGAGCAGATCCTCAATATACAGGAGGCAAGCTTTGACCAGTACGATCTTCCAGGATCAGCCTGTTCCCTTTTACTACCAAGGGCCTCCATAGCAAAGTTACTTCCCTGTGAAAGAGCTCAGCAAATGACATTAACAAAATCTGCATAATGGTGTGTGCTAGCTCAGAGAAGTTAAAGTGAGGTATGTGTTGTAAGCTGTGTGCAGAGAAGGGCACTAATCTAGGGACAAAGAGAATCTATTAGCAGTGATTGCTTGTCTGTATTCCAAATCACCTAAAACACTTTCAGTGAACCCTGCCAAAGAGAAGGACTAGGTAACCGATATCAACAAGCTGCATGACAGGGACAGTGTAATTTCCCCTCCTTCCTTGTCAGTCTTTTAAAATGATTAAGATAAACTTTAAGCCTTAGCCAAAATCTGCTCGTTCACCCTTTGCCTTCATCTTTGAGTCTCGACCCTAAAACTCCCCAGGCGAAATGAACACCAGTGGCCATGCAAAACGTTGCCTCTGTCAGGCGAGTGAGCGAGCAGATTTCCCAGGACTTGGCACTGGGCCCCGGGCCTTGTGCAGGGCCTGCCTGTGAGCCAGTACCACCAGTAGCAAGCCAGGCTGTAGAGTGATGTGGGCAACTTGCCACGCAAATCAAACATCAAAAAGATGGCGTAAAAGCAAGAACAAAGACATACAAACAATCAAACAAACAAACAAGCATCGGTAAAGAAATCCATTGGGATTGGTTTGCAGGTTTGGTTTCAAAACGCAAGAGCCAAATTCAGAAGGAACCTTTTGCGGCAGGAGAATGGGGGTGTCGATAAAGCGGACGGCACCTCACTTCCGGCACCGCCCTCCGCAGACAGCGGCGCTCTCACTCCACCCGGCACTGCGACCACTTTAACAGACCTGACCAATCCCACTATCACTGTAGTGACATCAGTGACCTCTAACTTGGACAGCCACGAACCCGGGAGCCCCTCACAAACTACCTTAACGAACCTTTTCTAACATTGCCGTTTTTTTTTTTTTTTTTTTTTTTTTTACTCTTACTCTTCTTCTTTATTATTATAATAATTATTATTATTATTATTTTGATTATTTTCAAGCCTTTTTTTTTTTTTTTTAAACAAAATAACAAACCCACAAAATATTTGGGAAAATAAACAGCTTGATGTGTAGCATCTGCAGCCACTTGGCAAATGAGTTTGAAGTAATATGTTGCTATAATAAACGAACATTTATTGTTGATAAATTGTACTCAAATTTTTTTAATTCATCAGACAAACGAAGAGAAGTTCTGAGTCATTCTAATAAGTGCCTCTTAAAATTGTATGTTACTTATTTCCACAATCTTGAAAAAAACATGAATACCACTACGACTACAAAGCCCAAAAGTTTCTTTTCTCTCCCTGATAATCAGCTAAAAGTCAGTATAATCATAGACAAAAGAATGCTGCTTTCACGATTGTATGTTCACTTCCAGAACCCGAGATTTCCTTTTATTTTTATAACACATCTAAAAGTTTTGTACGATTTATTTTTTAAATGTAGACAAATAAATACAACATGGATTAAATCGATGATGTAGCCAGACTGCAAGTCCCAGTGCTTCTTTGTAACGCGTTAGGGCCATGGCCGACCCCCCGGGCACACTGGGAGCCCCACGGGGCCCAGAGCTGCCCTTCAGCCCTGCACCCGGCCCACACCGAGGGCTGCACCTGGTGGGGGCCTGGAGTGGGGCCCATCCAGCACAGCCGAGGATGTGGGTCTCCGAGCTCACCTCTGCGAGTTACGGAGGGCAAGGGTGGGAAATGCCCTTGCGGAATGAGCTCGCTGCTGTAAGGGTATTGTTAGAGCAGAGCAGCAGCTCGAGGTGGGAGTCCCTCTGATCTGACATATTGCACAGGGAGGGCTTTTCCTTCTGCTCTGCAGTCAAATGGCACAGGTTAAGAATTAATTAAAAAAAAAAAGGGGACAGTTTGCTGCTCGGCCTCCGTGCCGTACTACTAAAGCAAACAGGGGTGGTCCAGCTACTTTAGCGAGCACCGAAATGATTGCCAACAATGCACAAGCATGTGTACTGTTAAAGGAGCTTTTGATAAATCACAGTTTTTCAGGGAAATGGAAATAAGCAAAATATAATTTATTAAGAAGTTTAAGGAACATGATTTTAGTACGATTTATTCATTACTATTTTGAATTTACTGTAGCTGTTTTCTGGGATTGTATCAGACTCTTTGTTTAACACACAAACTTAAAATCTTTAGTTCCTTGCTATCTTTAACATACGCTTTACCTTTTTTTAACTTTGTATAAAAGGAAAAAAATGTTAGCAAAAATTCTTACGAAATTGGGAATTGGCAGCGGATAATTTTGAAGCAGATAAACTCAGAAGCCTTGTGGATGCTGATCTCAATACATTTCTTAGTTTACAATAGCAAACTTTCTTTTTTTTTTTATTTTATTTAAGCTAAAAGTCTGAATGGTCTGGGCAGTGGTGAATGTTCATTTGTATCCTTTTATTGTAGTTGAACACCAATTAGATTGTGGAGAGTCTCAGAAACAAAACCGAACAAAAACCAGTCAAGATCTATGTCTTGCTTTTAGTGGATTGTTGAGAATAACTTTGCACATATACCCCACTTTTTAGACACCATCAAATCTCTTTTTTGGTGGTCAAAGTGGCTATTTAATATATTTTAAAGGTGTCCTTTTTGGCTGTATAAATGTGTGGTTACATATTGACAGTTCACTGCCCACATTAAAGTGCATTATTGTAATTTTTGCTCAGGGTTTTTAGAAAATTAGCACAGAAAAGTAGCTTATTTTTAAAAAAAAAAGATGATGGAAGAGATGTTAACACTGTAATAGAAGAAAGGTGTGTTTGCCATTATATATTTAGCAAGTATGGTTATCATCTTCTACGGATATTAAATCTTGACTTTTCCTATTTCTATTATCTTATGGGCATTTACCACTAACCAGACCAAACAACCTTGGTAAGGCTGAGATCTTTATTAATACACTTTTACAGGTAAAAATATTGATACTTATAAATTTTGTTCTTTGACAGAACAATATATGGTACTAGAGATCTACTTTATTAAGTAGACTAATTAAAACTCAGTTCTACTATGTGCCTTATGATATACCTTGGGAGTAAGTTTGTGAAAAATCAGGATATATGTGTTGTTTGTTAAATTAACTGTTTTAAGCCCTTTTGACACCTCACTAGTTTTGTACTGTTTTACCTCTTATTTCTGAAACTCTTTTTATGGTGTATCCTGTTAGAGGGGACAAACATGTCATAGAAAGCAGTTGTGCACTCTTTCAGATATAGTTGATAAATCCAATAATCTTATATATTGAGCTTCGTGTTTATAGTACAGTAAGTGGTCTAGCAAAATTGTCCATGTTTCTTTGTTTATTGATAAATGCATTGTATAGAAACTATTTCCCCTAAATATTTATGGACCAAACAATTGTGATATATCCTATTAAATTTGTGTGAATAAACCATTTTGAATCTAAGGAGTTATTATTTCCCATCAGTTTTTATTATTATTATTTTTTAATTTAAAGCCTACATGTTCCGGAGTGTCTCTTTGCTTTTACGGTACCTGCGAACAATTGGTATTAAACATGCAAACACGGCCTTTTAAGTACTCTAAAACAGGGTCCCTTCTTAGGTTTTTGATTTCTTCCTATTCAATGTATGTGCTACTGCTGGTGCGATTTAGATGTTAGCCTCTTAACCCCCTTTTTTGAACATGCCAAGTAATGCCCCACTGATTTGATATGGAAACCCCAGCATAGGCTTCTAAAAAAGTCAGAAAGCTAGCAACTAAAGTAATTGCATGACGAATATAACCTAAATAATATGATGAAATGAAGCAAGATTTAATGCTAGGTGTATTGAACACAAGCTAGAATTGCAGACCCCGAAAAGCCAGGTTGCTCTGTAGTTTAATAAATTGTCACTATGATTTCTTTCAGGGAGAACAAATCATGGGGCATTACAGCCAAACATCCCGACGTTTGAAAATTCCCTAAAGTATTAAAAGAAGGGGAAAAGTTTGATCGGAAATCCACTGCAGTGAAGACAAAGACAATATTAGGTTATGATAATCATACATTTAAAAATCTATTGAGCCAAAAAATAAAAATTAAAGACTTGATGTCATTTCCTGAATGTTAACAAAACATATGTTATTTTATGGTGTCTAATTAACAGAACTGGAGGCTTCAACAAATTGTGTGGTATTAAAAACAAATTTAGAGAAACTATGTATAAAACCAGAGCAACCTGGCAGCAATCTACCCAGCCCATATTCGAAGAAAACTTTTCTTTAAAAATATCACATTTGTCAAGCACAAGTACTTGTAAAATAAAATCTGAGTGCATTCATTCCACTTGCTTGCTAGTGTGTACCAGTCATACCTGTTGAATGGATTTTTGTAAATTCAAAGAGAGCTTTTCACTCATTCCAAATCATAGGAATCAAAACCCAGTAACTTTAGTACTATTGTTTCTGAATCCTTTTTTTTTTTTAATGAGACAAATCTGCATGCACTTTTCCATCTGTCACATATAGTGTACATTTCTGTATGATGAATTTCTCTTTGATGTTTCTTGTATAATAGCTTTCATTAATAAACATTTTATTTGATGCAAACATAGTTAACTTTATGTAAACACTTAGCTAATTGTTCCAGCTAATTTAAACTTTTCTTTTGAAAAAAAAAAGCAGTAGAGCGCAGTTCCAACACGTTATATATATAAAATCAAAAAGAATGCGGTAGCAATACTGTTACACAGCGAAAAGTATTTCTTTTGGTGTTTACCTTTTATTTTTTTAACCTGCTGTATAAAACTGACACTTTTTTTTTTTTTTTAAATCCCATCGGCATCAGCAGTAAAACAACCCCGAATTCTTCTTCCATATCCGAAAACATAAGCAGTATGTAAAACTCTCAATGACTTTTAGAATACATGGATATAATTTGTGGATCCCTGAGCTGTTTACAAGGTCACTATGCAATGAGCAAGTACATTACAAATAGTTGCTCCTGAGATTCCCAGTCTAAAAGGCAGATGATTTTTACGAGGCGACAAGCGAGTGTGACAATAACCAATTATTAGTAATGAGGTTTTGTAAGCGTTAAGCAACTATTTGCAGAAAGATTTTTTAAAAATATATTCCTATTTAGCTGTATAGCCAAAGCGTATGTTAAACAAATTAACATATAAAAACTTGCCAGAAAATCTTTCATTAAGATGACATTTTTATTATATACTAATGAACCCTATGTAAACAATGTAACTTTTATGAATGATGGACATTAAATATTTCACTTACGTGTATCCTCAGCATTTTGCATGTTTTCTTAAGCTCTTCCAGTTTCTGAATTCTAAAGAGAAAACCATACAATTATTAACAACATAAGACAAAGTTGCATACAGATTACTGCAGCGATCTCTGGAAACTGGTAACCAAGAGTGTTCTAACGGCAATAAAAAGGTATCATTTATTGGTGGCAATTATGGGAAGTATTGTTTAAACAACGGTTTTATAGTCTGTTGTAAAGCTCTGTTTAAAAAGGTTAGCATGGAGGACTTAATTCAAATCAGCTTGATCAGAAATTTAAGTATACTGTGAGATTCTTAAACCGAGCCTTATGTGCATTTATTGCTGCAGAAAAGGAGGCCATGCAGAAAAGTGATCATTCCTATCTCAGCCATAATGTGGTTTCCCTGTGTTGTCCACAAGAAAATATTACGAACATTAATTATTAAACCCAGTAAAGATCTAGGGTGGTGTTTAGGGCACTGAGAAAACTTACTCTTGCTAATTTTTCTTTTGTAAATCACTGCATTCTTTAGTCAGTTGGAATCCTTCTGTACCATTTTAATGCTTACAAACATATTTCCAGTCTGAATTATTGTCCATGTGCTGCTTTTCTCATTTGATTTAAATTAGAAAAATAAATGAATTAAACGCTCCCAACGAAAAACAAGCTCCACTGAAGTAAACGGCAAAATTAAATTAACTGATTAAAGTGCAACCAGGAGAATTTTGTGTCTCCTTGATGATTAACGATATCAAGGTTTCATTTCTTAACAGTGCTATTGTTTGTCTGGGGATAGTCCTGCATTTAGTGCTCTGATTCGTATGAGTAGCTGCATTTGCCATTCCAAGGTTTTTTGCAAGATAACGATATCTGTCCCTTGCATTTAGAGAGTAAACATGTTGAAGGGGCAGCATTATACTGGAAAGAAAAGTAAGGAATAATTTCAGACAAGATTTAAGAGCATACAAGACAAACCTGAGTTTTCACTTGTCAGAAGTGAAATGTGCTAGGGTTCTTCCTAGTGGATGCATGCCCACAGCTAGATGCAGCAGTTCATTTCACTTCTGGTCTCAAAAAAGAAGTCAAATTGTGCACTCCTAGAACATCTGACTCAGAACTATTCACTAGAGGAATGGTTTGCAGGGCTGGGTCAAATGGCAGAAGGCTGACACCAGAGCTCACTGGAATCGGTGAATTTTCTCTCCCTGATCCTGTGGGCTTTGAGCCAGGAGCTGAATGAACATAGAGACTAAATTATTCTCTTGCCTCTTAAGAAAGCATAACCTTCAGAATGAGATAGAATATATAGGACAGCAATGCCGCTCTGTTCTTTAGATTTCATTCTTGAGAGCTGCTAATGCAAGCACCTGGCACATGCATTCAATTGACTTCAAAATATTTCTTCCTCCTTCACCCAAATACAGGACACAAATTATACTGCTGGAAATTCCAGAAGCTATTATAGTGTTGGAGACTTTATTCAGTTATTCTGCAGTGCTGAACAATTCTCCTGCACTTCTCAATTGACACAGACTTATCTTGACACATACCTATATACATATCCTTGTCTTGCCTTCAGATAACTAGTACTTTCATATCTATTTAAGTCACTCAAACCTATAGGAAGTAACTCTCCACGCTCACACGTTCTAGCTAAAGCAGTTGTCATAATTTTTATTTTGTTGTTCCTCCAAACTAAAATATTTTATCCGAAGCAATTTTAGGTTATGAAATTGCACTTTTTTTGTATGCTTTTTTTTTTTTTTTTTTTTTTTTTTCCATAGCTTTGGTTCAAAAAACTGTAGTGCTTGAAACATCTACATGCATGGATTATTTTGCTATACAGCTTTTCCTGTATTACCCAAAAAAGCAAAGTCACTGGAATCATTGAATTTGTGGCCTGCATGTTTCTCTATAAATGTTTTACTCTTCAAATAGTTTTAATCATAAAAAATGATATTAAATGCATTCTATTTTTTCTAGTGTGATAAATATTAGAAATGATACCTTCTTGGCTGCACTCAGCTTTGGAACAAGTGTGTTTCTCCTTTTGGAAATGGAATTGTGAGCAAACGTCCTTTGAAATTTCTGATACTTGCTGCTGCTAGGAACAGAGGGGCTAGACTGAAGTCCTAATCTAGCTTAACAAAAATCAGTGCTATTTTCTGTTCTGCCTTCTCTTCTAACTGGACTTTAACTGACGCTAAGAAAAATGCCAGTACTTATTTTAGTGCTAGAAAATAAAAGTGAGATGTTTTCTTTTGTACTTCAGTTATGCACTTCAATACAGATTTCTGAGTCTGAACAGATGCACGGTGTCTTGAGTATATGAGACTGCTGCATACAGCAGATAAATAACACAGGAATGAACAGCCTAAGAAATGGTTATTGGACTAGAAATGTAAGCAGTCACAGTGGGAAATGTGGTGATTTATCATCTTATGAATCCTTACTTCACCCTTTTCCTTCAGGAATTTGTACTCAGCTGAGTATAAATGACCAACTCACTTTCTGTGGCCATATATAACTCAATGCTATGACTGAGATGCAGTAGAGAACAATCCATAACAAGAAATTCTCAGGAATAATTACCTCAGCAAAATAACAAAATATTATTTATGCAATATCCTAATGACAGTAAATAAAACACAACAGCAGGAAAACTGACAACGTCGGTATCATATCTTAATATGATGATTTGACCAAACAAATGCATATCCCATCACTCCAACGAAGTATGCAGTCTTAGCAGAAGGGGCAAGATAAGCTTAGAAACTAGCCAAAAAGTATTCACTCACAGGTGAATACTTTTCATCTTCAAAGGTACTCTCATAATTACTGGTCATGCAGCTGTTGCAATTGAATAGACTGTATCTCACATCTTCTTTTCTGGTTACCCAGTGCAGTATTATTTGACTTGATGAAAAAAAGTGGGCTTTGGAGAAGGCACTGAAATGGACACTCTGAAGTGCATGAATGCCACTGTGTGCCTGCAAGCATATTTGACAGGAAATACTGCACAATTCAGACTCTTAATATCAGTCTTAAAGAATTTACTGCTTTCTTTTTGCTTCTTATTTATTTTTATTTGAAAATTCCTTTCTTTTTGAGTGTGAGGCTACCTGAGCCTTCACTATATTAACTGAAATAATCTTTAACCATATTTAGTAATTTTTTTCTTAATAATCAAACCCTTGGACAAGTTTTTTTTTTTTTTTTTTTTTTTTTTTTTTTTTTTTTTTTTTTTTGAATGGTGCAGAATGTGAATCACATTGGAACAAATTAAGAAGTTACTGCTACTTTTTATTGTGAACTATTAGAAAGAGGTTCTCATCTGCCCAGGAATGCTTTCTGAGCACAGCAATGATGTAATTGTTCCAAGTGAGTTAATTTCTTCTGCTATTTGATGTGCCACAGAGAACTAGTGTGACACTAAATAGGTAATAATCAGAAATCAGTGCTTCAAAGCACTAGCCTAAAACTACTGCAATGGTTGTGGATGGACCCAAATTGACAAGCTCTCAAAATCACAACTTACCACTGAAACGGAGGTGATAAAATACAATATGGCTTGGAGTGCTTATATCATTTACAAATGACACCCAAGTACTGAGATCCTGCTGTCTCATAGCATAAGTACAAATGTAAAAATCTTAAAAATTGGGTTCTGCAACTTATTTCAAACTGTATTAAATTCAGTGTGATTTCAAGAACTGACTTATAAAATCTGGTGAAATCAAGGGCATTATGATTAATTTCCTTGGATTTCATCATAGAGTCTTTCAATGTGCTTTTTAGCCTCTAGCAAAACTGGAAAACGAAAGAGAAAAAAACAGCTGTGCAGAACTCAGATTCAGTTCAGAACAGTTCTGAAAATGGCCAAAGGTTTTGTTTGTACGTAACGTTTTATTTTTTTGTGATTATTTGAACAACAAAAGGCACCAGAGGAAACTAGGCTCCCCAGGAACCAGTTCGGACAGGCCTCTCCCTTCACACTCTGAAGAATTTTGCTGTTAAATATT